CAATGGGTTCTTTTTATAATTAATCTCTTCTTTGTCAGGTTTTGGGTGTTCTAAAAGCAACATAAACCATAATTTGGAAAATAAAATTAGTATCATAAGAATTATTTGCTTTTGTTTCAATAAATATTAACAGAAATTGGCTCTTGATCTGGACTAAGTGTTTAACTTTCGCCCCCTTGTGAATTCGACCCCCTGTGTTAGTGTGTTACATTTTGACAGTAATTTAGAGTCTAATTAGTTTAAATGTTGTAATTTGTTGCACTGACCTTTGTCACCAAGCAGTTTCACCCAAATAAACGTATTTCATTTTGTTGGTGTTTTAGCTACAGCAGAGAAGCAGCTCCATGTTTTCCTGCCATCCTCCGTCAGGCACAGATGAAGCTGAATTGTTAGAATTCAGATCATGAAACAGCTCTATGATGGAGAGATTGAAGGAAGATCCTCCATAGAACAAAAAAGCCATTAGTAATTTTGAGGAATAAGCTTGATTATAGTTATTTTATTAACAATACAAAAATTGTCATTACTAGTTTTTGTTCTGTTGTTGCCATTTTGTTACAGAAACCAACCTGTAGAGTGTTGAATATTAAACATCTGTATCAGACAGAAAAAAAACTGATTTAAAATAGATAAATATGCACAATGTACAAGATGTGTCTGTAATGTCACATTTTTAGGACAGCTGCTGATTCCGTGCACCGGACAAGGTGCCCTCTTTTTACATTTGAGCACCTGCCCCCGAAAATGTRTGTGCACGCTACTGTATATTCTCATCATCCCTAGTTAATAACAACTCTGGCATAACAGGTGTAGGACAATATGCATTTCTTCAATGTGAGAACTWTAATATTCAGTGTGTTTTCCTRRTTTTTTTTTTTTTRRRRCCAGTTGTACATTTTACCAGCTTGGTTTTGTCACGACATGTCACTTGGTCTACATTTGGGGAATTTTGACAGGAAAAAAGGTAATTATGTGCTTTAACAGCTTTGATCTACCTTTTTGTCAAATAACTGTGGGAAAGGAGGAATTRAAAGCATAGCTCCTCAAACAAATAAAACCACAAATTGTGGATCCACTGAGTTAAAGCCTGAGTTTTCTTATTTTGACAGTGCTGTGGTTGGACAGCCGTGAAACTCAACAAATTAATGTCTGAGCCTCCTGGACACATTCATGTGGTCTTTTTTTTCCTTTGCCTGTTCAGGTGACCAAAAAAAAAGGAAAATTATAAGGTAAACTCAAAGCTATTATTGTACCAGCTAAGTGCTAACAACAACAGCTCTGTGAAGAGCGAAACATGACAAGAGGCAATTTAGCACTAATCCGCCATGATTTTGCATTCTGTACACCAGATTGCAGATGAAGTTAATGGTGCTTGACAAGGAGACAGGTGTCCTCTGTCTGGCCCCAGTGAGACTGTGACAAAAGCATGAAGAGTCCCCAGGGGATGAGCAGGTACACCATCACAGCATGCTACACTGACTGAGCTTTGCTACAGATGCTAAATTAAAGGGAGCAGGTTTGCTCTTAAGCTCACGTTACCACAACACCAATGATGATGGCGGTCATAGCAGAGGCCTGAGGGCAAAATAGTCAGTCCTGTTTCAAATTCTTGATGACCTGAGCTACGCTGGTGGGTGCAGGTCTCATTACAGGAACGCATTGCCAACACACCATCACACTTTACCCATGATATGCTGCTACCGTGATAATAAACCTCACCAGCCTTGCTACAGAAGTAACTATGACTGTGGTAAGGGCCCAACTTACTCCATCCAAAGTCGAACAGGTGACTCCTGGTCATGTGGTTGCCAGTAGGATTGGGCAAAATTGAATTGTGTGTAATTAATTATTCATCAGGAAAAAAAACTGTTGGCAATAAATATTTGCCACTTTGTAATTACTGCAACTAGTGCCAGATGTGTGTGATGCACTATCACTATCAAGCATACTGTGTTCCTAAACATGCTGCCATTCCACATTGGTGAAAAAGTGAGTTTCATTTTACACTTACTAATTTAATATTTAATCTGAAGAAGTTTGTTTGACCAGTGGTTTGCAAATAAAATTTTAGATCACGGGGTGACTGGTTCACAYTCAAAAACATACATGTGTGTTTGTCATCTATTACACATCATATTAATTAATTTTTTTTTTTTGGCTAAAGTGTCACACTTAATCGTGATTAATTTTTTTGCCAATATCGCCCGACCCTAGTTTCCAGGTGTTTGTTTCTGCACACAACTTTCATAGACCCTAAGACACACAGCACAGATATCCTGGGAAATCCTTCCCACTGCATGTCACAGCACAGGTTCTTCCTGCTTACAGACTTCAGTCCGATWCCTGCAGCTAGAAAGAGTCATATTAATGGACATCTTTCTGACAGCCAAAGACAATTCTTCCTCAATTTATCCATGTTGTTTGGACGAACAACAACCGGCTACTGGATGCAAAATAGTGCTACCACTGTTGTCGGAGCACTTTTCTGCATAAATATGCACGCCTACAAACTTCATCCATCCATCCATCCATCCATCCATTATCTTCCGCTCATCTAGGGTAGGGTCATAGGGCCAGCAGCCTGAGCAGAAAGGCCCAGACTACCCTATTCCCCAGCCACTTGGGCCAGCTTCTCTGGAGGGAATCCCAAAGCGTTCCAAGACCAGCTGAGAAAAACAGCCCCTCTAGAGTGTCCTGGGTCCTTCACTGGGTCTCCTTCTGGGATAGTGGATAGTGATCAAAGGCAGGGACTTTGGCTGTCTGATCCTCGACTACTGAAGCTGGCTCACCCACAAACGTCTGACAGAATTTTTGTGTCACAATTGCAAAAATGAGATCTGGTTTTGCAACTTCTGATCGGGTCTGTAGGGGACTAATTTGCCCCTCAATACCTCACCAAGACACACTGCAAAGACCATGCATGTTCTACAATCTTTGACTGTGTAGCCAAGTCATCAACAAGTATAAAGGGGCTTGGATTTTGGGTAGACTCCTTTATCCTTTTTTTAATCATTAGGTTTCTCATTTAATTTTGTAATTTTGTTATTTTATTTACTTAGGGACAAACACAAAGTAGCAGTGGGCACTGTCATTGAATACAATTCCACATTGAATTCAAAGAAAACGCTTGCAACTTTACAAATGATAGATGTTTTGCCAGCTAGACATGTAAAATTATAAAACTTGAAGTGACTTAGTGATTTAATTGTCATGAAATCAAAATGTCCTTTCCTGCACATGGCATGAAGCATGTGCTTAAAGTCAAGCATTTCCCCTGAGAGAAAGAGCACCTCTACTTTCACAATGCATGGATCGATGGATCAGTCGCCTCCATTCTGCTGAAACAAGGAAAAGCACAAAGCTCTGGTAAGAAGAGAAGTGATGTGATTACCGGTGAAAGTCTCGTGAGGAAGTGCTCTTCCGAATGACTATTAATGTTGACCCACTTCATCACTGCTAACCTAAAGGTTGTTCGATGGAAGTACAGAGAACATCCATCATGTTCTAGAAAGTACAAAAATAAATGTTTTTGAAGGGTATTGAAGGGAAATTTCTGATGTTACACTTTATTAAACTCATAATATTTCCACATTAAGTCCTTATATCACTTTTGTTTTTGCCCAGTGGACAAACTGCAGGTTAATGGAACTTGCACAAAGTAATAACRAAATTTAAATCTACTACTGATTAACTTTCAGCGTCAAGCCAAATTCAACATGGCAGCCA